TGATTACTCGCCAAGCCAATCGTTCGTGTACCAGGGTCTATGAGAGGCGAGAAACAGCTCGAGGATAGTGGCTGAAGGAAAAACGAGGAAAACGAAATGGATTCACGAATCACTCTTGGGACCCGCGATCCTATTCCCCGGAATAGAGGTTACGGTTTGTTGTGTGGTCTCTCGAGTTTCTGATGGACGTCATGGTGGAGCAGCATAAGTAACTACAAAATGGACGTCTTCGTTTCACTGTCTTAAGATATAAATTCTTGTTGGAATTTATATAAATTGGAAGGTTCAGATGCATCGAAAATCATTGGGTATTTCCAGAGAGACATCAACACCGCCGCTAGTAATGGTGATATGCAAATTATTCGCAAAATGTTAAAAGATGGAATCGATATCAATGATCATGACTTTGAAGGAAGAGCACCGTTGCATTTTGCCGTTAGTAATGGACACGTGGATATTGTAAATCTTTTATTAGAAAACGGAGCCGATGTGTCTCAAGTTACTAAGAAAGGTAACACCTCGTTACACATTGCTGCTTCCAAATATTACAAGGAGATCGTCGAAATTTTGTTACAACATATAAGTCGTGATAAACTATTGAAGTATGTGAATGCTAAGACAACCGGTAGCGGTGCTACGTCTCTCCACATAGCTGCCATAAATGGCTCTCTGGATATTGTCAAATCTTTGCTCACACATGGCGCAACTTACAACATCAAAAATAACAATGGCGAAACTCCGTTCGATCTTTCCTACGACCCCAACGTCAATTATCTGTTCACACTAATTGATAAGTTGTTCAGGGATACAAAAAACAGTCACGTTGATGTTATTAACGTTTTAGAGATTTTAAAACACGATGACTTTTTAGCTGCGGTAAACGCTCGCGACATTCAGGGATCCACGCTGCTGCAAGTTGCAGTATCCAACAAACATAAAACTATTGCTTCCAAATTATTAAAAATGATACAACAGAAAAATTAACAACGTTACCCCCAACTCCACATATCCCAAAGTCCACATATCCCAAAGTTCACATATCCCCAACTCCACACATGAGTGACCCCAAATCCTCACACCTCAAATCCCTAAATTCTCACCTAACATTGTCCCATCTCCGTACCTCCACATACCCTTCTCCTTACCTACAGTCTCCCTCCCTGGCGACGATCAGTTATAATCATCGAGCCACCATAGCAAATGCGTCGTTAAATCCCGCCGGATATCGGCGTCTGATCGGTAAAGCGAGCAGAACGATTGGAAAGGAAAAGAGAAATAGGTAGGAAACCGATGCGCCTTGCTCGCATTGAATCAGCCAATTGCCAGGAATCACGCTCGGCTGCGTCCGTGATTACTCGCCAAGCCAATCGTTCGTGTACCAGGGTCTATGAGAGGCGAGAAACAGCTCGAGGATAGTGGCTGAAGGAAAAACGAGGAAAACGAAATGGATTCACGAATCACTCTTGGGACCCGCGATCCTATTCCCCGGAATAGAGGTTACGGTTTGTTGTGTGGTCTCTCGAGTTTCTGATGGACGTCATGGTGGAGCAGCATAAGTAACTACAAAATGGACGTCTTCGTTTCACTGTCTTAAGATATAAATTCTTGTTGGAATTTATATAAATTGGAAGGTTCAGATGCATCGAAAATCATTGGGTATTTCCAGAGAGACATCAACACCGCCGCTAGTAATGGTGATATGCAAATTGTTCGCAAAATGTTAAAAGATGGAATCGATATCAATGATCATGATTTTGAAGGAAGAGCACCGTTGCATTTTGCCGTTAGTAATGGACACGTGGATATTGTAAATCTTTTATTAGAAAACGGAGCCGATGTGTCTCAAGTTACTAAGAAAGGTAACACCTCGTTACACATTGCTGCTTCCAAATATTACAAGGAGATCGTCGAAATTTTGTTACAACATATAAGTCGTGATAAACTATTGAAGTATGTGAATGCTAAGACAACCGGTAGCGGTGCTACGTCTCTCCACATAGCTGCCATAAATGGCTCTCTGGATATTGTCAAATCTTTGCTCACACATGGCGCAACTTACAACATCAAAAATAACAATGGCGAAACTCCGTTCGATCTTTCCTACGACCCCAACGTCAATTATCTGTTCACACTAATTGATAAGTTGTTCAGGGATACAAAAAACAGTCACGTTGATGTTATTAACGTTTTAGAGATTTTAAAACACGATGACTTTTTAGCTGCGGTAAACGCTTGCGACATTCAGGGATCCACGCTGCTGCAAGTTGCAGTATCCAACAAACATAAAACTATTGCTTCCAAATTATTAAAAATTATACAACCATACAAGAAATCTGCTGAAATAATGATGGTAACATTTCCCCTTTAACTTGCTCGTATACACTCAATAAGTGTACGTACTTATTAACGTCACACTCCACAGCTTCCTGTTTGTCTTTAATCTCCGCTGAACTTGCTAAAAGTATCCAATTCCGTTCGCGAGTGTCCTCGATTTTTCTCCCCCAAGATCGTCTCTGTTCACACAATTTTCCGGCGTGTTTCGCTCTCGAATCTTTCGTTTTCTTTCGTTCCTCGACGAAACGAAATTCCAGCGATAGCTTATCGAGCAGTGTTAATTAATTGAGGCTGAATCCGTGCTCCTCCAAGTTCCCGGCACTTTGGAATTAACGTTCGCTCCACCGCGATTCACGATCGCGTGGAAAAGTTTGCAAGAAGCTCCGATATTTAGTGAGTAGCGTGATTGAAATAATAGCGATCACCCGGCCTCATTCGTTAAATTACCAAAGTTTAAATATTCCCTCTTCTCATTAATTGATTTCTGAAATTTTTTTACGGAGAAAATAATTTCGGAGGAATATTTAAAATATTTAACGGAGAAAATGATTTTGCAGAAATATTTTAAATATTTAACGAAGAAAATAATTCCGGAGAAATATTTAAAATATTGAACAGAGAAAAATTGTAGTTTCCAATTTTTTAATCGAATATTTTGCGAATGAGTAAATTTCAAATTTTCACTACTGTGAAGTTTGAATCATCGCAAATTGAAAAGTCCGTCGTTTTTAAACTTTCAGACGCCATAGTTAAATATGATACAGCAACAAAATAGAGGCATCGATCGTCTCGAGTGTTGTGCCATTATACTGTTCTGAAGAAAAGACGCATTAAAGTCGGAGGGTGGGATATATCGAAGTTATTACAACATCAACACGGTAAAGTCGTTATCCGCGATAGCTCAAAGAGATTTACGCGATAATAAAAGATATTCAAGAAGACTGAAACGTCGTTGCCGACGAGTTATGGCTCGCTGGCACACAGGTAGAACAGTAATCTACGTACAGCGGAATGCCAATTTTGTCTCGCGTTTACGAGAAGAATATTTTCTCCTGAAACAATTTATTCTGATCTTATCGTGTTCGGTTTCGAAGGGCAAATTTTCTACGTTTTCAGAATAATATTGAGGACATAGTTCTTTCTTTTTCGTTCGAGAATTTCGAATCTTCAAAATTTTGATTTAATCTGGAACAATTATTATGTTGTTATAAAAATTATTACAAGGGGTACAATTATTAAAAAATAGTTGGTTAAACATTTTTTACATGAAATACAAGAAATGTACATAGTATGAAAAAGTAAAGCAACTTTTTAAATTTAAGGAAAACTGCATAAAAAAAATCTATGTGGACGTTGTGTGAGGAAATCTATAAAAGGTGGTAGAAAAAGTGGTAACAAAAATCCTGGCTACAAATACGAAACCTTTAATACCGTAAAAATTTGTCTACAAACATAAAATCTTAGGACTTTGAGGTACGTTTTTGTGAAGCAAGTTAAAAAGTGATATAGAGCAATTATTCTGTGCGTAGTTCAGTAGAAACGTTTACACAGTGACTCGCAGTATTTCCAGGTTTGCGAAGCTGACTCGCAAGGATTGTAAGCCACAGGATAACCAAGCGAATGTTGCTAGTCGTCCTTTATCCATCGACGTGACCCGATGTGGAAATGTTGCAGGGTATCCAGATTAATCCCATGGAACGCCGAAGGGGAAGCAATACACGTCGAATGCAAATAAATATTCTTCGGCCGCAAATATTTGTCGCTATCGGTGTAATTTTCGAACGTTTGTTTCTGCTGTTTCGATATTTTTTCCTTGAGACTTTTGTCAAAATTGTGGACCAGATTTGTTTGATTGTGATGCAAGTTTCTGAATGATGTTACGGGGTTTAGTAATAATGGTGGATTTCAGTAGTAATTGTCGACTTTGGTCAGACGTACATCGTCGTGTTTTATTATTAATTTTATAAGGATATTTATACTTTTACTATATTTTATACTTTCGTACTTTAGAATATTTGAAAATACTTGTAGAGTTTAGGGCAATTTTGGACATTTTTTAGTAGTATAAGTCAACTTTTGTCAGACATCTTAAATATCTTACAGTAAGAATATAATTGTAATAAATAATGGATAATTTTTTTAATGACTGCAATATGTATTATGTGCTGTTATGTACTACTCAGAGATTGATGTATACAATTGTCTTCATCTATCAGTAGTAAAAGTCAACTTTGGTCAGACATCTTAAATATCATCTCACAGTAGAAATATAATTGTAACAAATAATGGATAACTTTTCTAATGTCTGTAATATGTATTATGTGCTGTTATGTACTACTCAGAGATTGATGTATACAATTGTCTTCATCTATCAGTAGTAAAAGTCAATTTTTCTCAGACATCTTACATACACAACTAACAAATTCAATTAATAATTATTTTCTCTATCTACATACAATACCTAGAACTACAATTCAATATCTAGAACTTACTTAAAGTTCTATTAATTTATCCCTGACATTCAGACACTCTCATAACTCCGCAAGTAGTAACAGTCAAGTTTAATCAGACATCCCAAGATCTTCCAAACGCTCGATCTAATATAAATTAACAACAAATAACCACACACGTTGAATAAGAAAATGAATATTTACGAATATTTTCAGGTCTATTTCACAGGGTGGTGTTATCAAGCGGCTCAGCATTAAGCCCGTGGGCCTCCGTTCACGATCCAAACGACCTGCGTCTTAAAGTAGCTGAGCAAATAGGTTGTCCCACAGAAAACGACGAAGATATTGCCGACTGTTTACGCGGGATTCCTCTTCGCGAGATCATGGCGGTTGAATTGCCGGAAATCCGGTAAGATAGCGGCTCTTCACGAGTTTCAAGAATCAAATAATTCTATCGTAAAGTCGCGTGTTTTCGTTTATTACTTCGATACGATACTTCCATAAAATTATAGTCTGTTAGAACTTTTGAATTTTTGTATTTAAAAACTTTTTACTTTTGTAATTTTGTAGGTTTTGAAGGTTGGAGTCTTGCAATTTTAGGATTTTTTAATTTTTAATTGTGGAACTTTGAAATATTCAAGTTTGGAATTTTTATATTTTTCAATTTTGTGAATTTGGAAATTTTGAAGGTTGCAGTCTTGCAATTTTGGGACTTGCAGATTTTTGACATTTTTAGACAGTGGAATTGTATAATTTTCCAACCCTAAAATTTTGAGAGAAAAACCTGAGAAAATTAATTTTTTAATTTTGCAATTTTGGACCCTTAAATTTTACAATTTTTGAACCTTGAATATCTTGCAAGTTGCAGAATTTTTTAATCCTAAAACCACCTGATTTACCCACCCTTAAAAGTTTCCAAATTTCAAACATTGTATCACAAACTTGCCATTCCCCAAAACTTTCCCCCAAGCATAAATTAACCTAACAGTTCCAGATATCAATCTCAGCACAATAATCAGCGTTTATCGCAGATCAAAGTGTCCCTAATCGTGCCCTAACTATCCTGCCCTATAATTACCTCTATCGATCTCCTCAGAAATATTCTTCGTTGCAGGTTCGTGCCTCGTATAGGGCCCGGCTTACCAGTGGACCAAAATAACCCCGACCCAGGTCTGGACATGGAAAGAGTGAGCGACACGTTCATCAAGGTGCCTCTGATCCTCGGTGTATCGACCACTGAGTCGAACCTGGACTTCAACGCCCACGATATTCAGTACGGTCTCGAGGAGGATCATCGGAATCGTGTTCTCCGCACGTTCATCAGGAACGCGTACGTTTATCATCTGAACGAGATATTTTCGGCGGTGAGAAACGAGTACACGGACTGGGACAAGCCGGTTCTTCATCCCATCAACGTTAGGGACTCGACGATGGAGGCGTTGAGCGATGGACACACCGTGGCTCCGCTGATGAGAATAGCCTTTTATCACGCCAGGAGGGGAGCCAAGACGTACTTCTATCACTTCAGCCATCAGAACAAGAACAACGGATATATGGAGGTCAGTGGTGAACTATGGCCAGGATTTGAAGAGGCGTTTATGCTCAGAGTTGTTTAGGATATGCGAGTTTTGTAAATTTTTAAAAATATTACCTAGAGCCTTATTTCGCAATTTGTCGACGAATTAAAAATGTGTTAATAGCGCTGTAGCCACGGTTATTCAAACATTTCGCACTCGCAAATTTATGCAAAATTAACTGAGACTTAAGCAGTTGGTTCTCCGTCGCTGCTCCACTTTTCGCTCTCGCCAAAGAGTTGAACGCAAAACTTCGAGTCCGGCTCTTTGACGATGGCGGCTGGTGTACTTAAGAAATTTCGCGAAGAATCAAAGAAGTCGCGAATAAACGTCTGCAAGGAGGATTAAAGAAGAAAAAGAAGCGGCGAGGTCCCGCGAGAAACAAGTTTACAGCGGAAGTGGTTCAAAGGGCCACGTTTACTCTCGACGCTTTGCGCGGGTTATTTGCCGTTTTAAAAACATGGCTTCCTTTGAATCAATTTGGCGAGCGCAACCTTTAGATAACAGACTTACTACATTTATTAAATAACTCTCTTTGCGAACTACTTACATATCCTTGAGAATTCCAGCTAATATTCTTTGACATGTATTTTGTTTTTTAACTTCTCTTTCTTGTAAATAAGACCGGTTGTATATTTATTAAGAGTTTGTAAGATAGGTTTCTGTGTATTTTTGTTTTATATTGGTTTTATGTTTGAATAGTGATGTAGCAGAATTGTATAACTGTGATATAACAGAATGTTTATAGCAGAATGTTTATAGTAGAATAGTTTATAGTAGTATCTTTTGTGAACGATGTTTCATGCATTAGTTAATAGGTTTACATATTTTTCTTTTAATTTTTTCCGAAGTTTGAAAGAAGAATTTTTTCTGAAGTTGTGATTTGAAAATTTTCATATTTGGATATTTTTAAGTTTGCACGTCACATAAAAAATGTCAAATACTTTTAAAATATTCCACTGTAATTATCGATAATTAAGATAACAGCACAGTCTTGCCTCGACACTATCATAGGGAAAAAACGAAGCGAAGAAGCAGCGTTTAGCTCCGGTTAATTTAATCGCGTGAACGAGCTGATCGGGCTTCGAACTCTTCGAGATTGGCAGTGCACAATCTTGCGTTTCCTCCTCATCGATTCCCTTCTTCGACCCGACATCCACTCTAACCGCTGCCCATGATTTCACGATGAAGCTACTGATTTAATCAGACCAGGCCGCAGGAGCTGGTTCCATCACGACCGCCTTATACAACAAGTCTAGAACCGTGTAAATTAAGCGCAACGTTATCCAACTTGCTGGGTAGAGGAATCTTGGAGGTTTGGGTTATCGCTGTCTTATAGGTTAGAGTCTGTTTTTTATTGGTAGTTCCAATTCTAAATTCCAAATCCTCAAAGTCCCAAAATCTTCTAATCTCAAAAACCCTAAAATTCCAAATCCTTAAAGCTTCAAAATCTTCTAATCCCAAAATTCGTAAATTTCAATCCTCAAAGCCTCAAAATCCCTAAATTCCAAATCCTCAAATTTCCAAAATTTTCTAATTCCAAAATCCCTAAGTTCCAATCCTCAAAACCCCAAAATCTCCTAATCCCAAAATCCCCAAATTCCCAACTCTTCAAATCCCCAAAATCCCTAAATTCCAATCCTCAAAGCCCCAAAATCCCTAAATTCGAAATCCTCAAATTTCCAATATTTTCTAATTCCAAAATCCCTAAATTCCAACCCTCAAAACCCTAAAATCTCCTAACCCCAAAATCCCAAATTTCCAATTCTTCAAATCTCCAAAATCTCCTAATCCCAAAATCCCCAAATTCCCAACTCTTCAAATCCCAAAATCCCCAAATTCTTTCTCCAACTCTTTACACAACCATAAAAAACAACCAAACGCCAAAAGAATTTCAAAAAAGTAAAACTTCGAAGCAGTCTATAATTTTGTCAGAAATGAATCCACATACGCCATAGAACGTATTACGCTTCAGGACATGATTTATAGTCGGTAGGATATTCAATAATGGCTGAAATAATTTGACGTGTTCAATTTGCATTTCTCGGCATCGTCGATTAACTCCAATTAACCGATACAGTTTTCCGTCATTGCCGTTGAATTTTAATTAGTGATAATTAACACGGTAATAAATTATCGTCAGTTCATTGTTACACGTGCCAACAAGTTCATACCAAATTAATACTACATCCATCGAACTATGGTAATGATCTTGATGTCTGCAGTTTATCCCGAACGATCAGCTGTCTATTTAGAAGAGTTAGGTTAAATAAGAAATTGTATATAAACAAAAATATAAAATTATATATGATAAGGTTAGGTTACTTTTAACTTTAGAATTATAATTAAAGTGTTAAGTAATTTTCGTAGGTGTTTGCGTAGAACTACTATTTTAATAGTAACATAACATAGGTAAGACAGGTTAGGTTTCACAGAGTGAAGTCAGGTTAGGTTGTACAGAGTAAAATCAGGTTAGGTTATACAGAGTAAAGTAAGGTTAGGTTTCACGAAATTTTACATTATTAAAAAATACACTTCTCACTTTATATTTTCTACAGTACATTCTAAACAAAATAGCATATATATTTGCATAGAATGAAAATTCCAAAAGTGATACAAAATAAATTAGATCAAATATTAAAATTCAAGTTACAATCTTCTCCACAAAATCCCTCCACAACAAAATAATTAAAAACACCCTCTTGACACGACTGTCAATATCCCAAAAAACCGTTCACAAAGAACTCAAACCCAAAGAATTCAAAGCCAGGTTCCGGCAAAGTTGATGCTTTGCTAAAATCCCGAGAATGCTTTATTAAGGACGCAATTGCATAGAAACTCTCTGTTGTTCAATAGAAAGGAACAAAACAGCTTTGTACACAAGCGTTAACAAACGCAGATATGTACAAAGCTGGTATATCGCGCAGCACGTTTCAAGTAAATCACAACAGGACTAAAAGTTAATAAGTTTCGCCCGAGGGCCAGGGTTAATAGCGATTTAGTGCGTCTGCTTGGCAGGCCTGGCCAACTGCGTACGCACAAAGCGAAATTTAATTAAACCCGGTAAGGCAGCTCGTTTAATAACTTCCGGTGACGTTGTTAACTCTTTGCAACTTCCGACATTATTATTCGCAAAAAGTCTTGTAGTTTTTGTCTGTACGACGTTTCGTCTGTTTGTGTCATTTTCTTTTTGGGGGATGCGTAGTTGAAACTTATGTGTTAGGGAATTTTAGGTCTGTTTTATTAATGGGGAGGTTTAATTAATAGGTAGGTTTAATTACTAGGTAGATTTTAATTTTAAACATCTAAGATCATTTTGACGAGTTTCGTAAACTCAGTATTGGATAGTCTCAAGTCTTACATCTGCTACGAAACAAAATGGCCGAAACGGGGACACAAAATGACCGATACGAGAACACAAAATGGCCGACATGAGGATACAAAATGGCCGACGCGAGGATACAAAGTGGAAGACACACTGAAAGTAATTTTGACAGTATATTACATTACTTTTTTCAAAAATAAGTTAATTAAACTTGAAGAAAACATGTATTTAACCTAACACAGTGACGTCGCACTAAATAATACTTTCGTATTAAAAATATGCCTTGTCTCTGACAATTGAATAATAATTTTGTACAATAATAATTCTAACACATCGACCAAATATCTTACACAATAAAATTTTATCACAAAATGCATTTACACTCGAACATCTTAAAAAAAGGAACCTTTTGATCAGTCCAGTATTAACAACACGTCATGCGGTAAATTCAGTATCGACAAACGAGAACGCGGTGAGTTAAGATAGCAAGAAAAAGAAGAAGAAAATACGAGGAAACAAGGTGGTCGAAGCGAAAAGAAAAAGGAATAACTGTTCGATATAAATTTACGAGTGCAATATATTAATAACAGACGGCGATTAATAATTGAAGGCTGGTGTGTTGGATACATAGGTGGTATATCGCTGGTATATTAGTATTGGTAGATAAATTAGAGAGGAGGGTAGTTAGTAACATGGGTTCTGCCCGAGTTCTTAGTTGCACGAAGTGCATTATTTGGGACGTGCCTCTATTACAACTTTTTGAATATGATAATAGCTTGATAGGGATTTGGAACTTTTAATAGGGATTGTAGCTTGGAACTTTTTACTTTGGAAGTTTGCGATTTTAATATATTGGAATTTTCAAATTTTAGAATTTTACAAAATAGGGAAGTCTTTGAGCTGAAGGATCATTTTGACGAGTAAACTCAGTATTGAGATAGTCCAAGTCTTCTGTCTGCTACGAAACAAAATGGCCGACACGAGGATACAAAAGAGATTACTCTTGAGTGTTGGAAATTTGAGACTTTCAAATTTTGCATCTCTCTATTGAAATTTTTAAATTGTTACCATCACTCCTAGCTTCCAACTATAATATCCTAATACAGCTGCCAACTAAAATAATTATAAACAATATTACAACCAACTACTAACATAATACAACAAATATAAGAACGATCAACAACGAAACCTCAAAGAGTCTCTCAACCATAAAATATGTCTTTGCCTCAAATCATATAATATTCTAATACATCTGCCAACTAAAATAATTATAAACAATATTACAACCAACTACTAACATAATATAACAAATCATTTAAGAATCATTTAAGAAAATGATTAGTAATGAAATTTCAAAGAAAGTCTCTCAGCCATAAAATATGTCTGCCCCAGATATCAAGATCGCAAGATGTCCGCACAATACCTGCTCAATAATACTAATTGCAAAGCAGAGCGTGAATCGTGCGCGGCCAATTTTGTTTGCGTTCCGCATCGAGGTCACAATGCAAATCTCCTTAATTCGCAGCACAAGCAACCGAATGTAGAACTTCCCTAGTCGGTTCTCGAGTGTCCTCCTTGATCCTGCACCCTCGACATTTCTCCCCCGGTAGATCTACAGATCGGTGCATGCGCGTGCATACATTTCGCAACAGTCGAAGAAGCGTAGCCCGCTGGATTAGCTGGAGAATTTACAGGTGTGTCTTAACGCTTATCGGCTCGGATCGTTTAATGGATGAGTCGTTTAACTTGCTTCTACTAAACGCAGCTTGTAAAACGGGCTTAGCTGTCTCGCTACGGTGTTGAGTACACTTTTCTGTGAACTTGAAAATTTATTTTAGGATTTTTGTATTGGATAGTTTAGGATTTTTATACTGGATAGTTTAGGATTTTTATATTGGATATTTTAGGATTTTTGTGCTGGATATTTTAGGATTTTTGTGCTGGATAGTGTAGGATTTTTATACTGGATATTTTAGGATTTTTGTGCTGGATACTTTAGGATTTTTGTGCTGGATAGTTCAGGATTTTCAATGTTTAGAAATTGGAGACATTTGACTTATTAAATTTGAGGAGTTTTGCAAGTTGAGAGTGTTGGGATTTTTGTACTGGATATTTTAGGATTTTCAATGTTTAGAAGTTGGAGACATTTGACTTATTAAATTTGGGAAGTTTTGCAAGTTGAGAGTTTTGGGATTTTTATACTGGATATTTTAGGATTTTTAATGTTTAGAAATTGGAGACATTTGATTTGTTAAATTTGGGGAGTTTTGCAAGTTGAGAGTTTTGGGATTTTTATACTGGATATTTTAGGATTTTTAATGTTTAGAAGTTGGAGACATTTGATTTGTTAAATTTGGGGAGAGTTGGACGTTGAGGGTTTTGGGATCTTCAGGTTTTGGTACCTTTTATTTCTGTGCGTTCTACTTTACTTAAGAGTACTATTCATTATACTTTTCCCTGAATATTTACTTATTATTTTACACTCAATAATATAGAATATTCAGTATTTATATTATACCAAACAAAGAACTTGAAAATTTTAACGTCTTCAAGTTTTACTACTTTTAATTCCTATACTTCATCCTTCACTTAAAAGTACTATTCACTGTATTCCTCACTGAATATTTACTTATTATATTACACTCAATAATATAGAATATTCAGTATTTATATTATACTGAACAAGAAACTTGAAAATTTTAACATCTTCAAGTTTTACTACTTTTTATTCCCATACTTCATACTTCACTCAAGAGTACCATTCTCTAAACATTTATTTATTTTTTGGTTACAATAAAAGAACGTATATTATTCTGAATACTATTACAATACATAAATAAACACTCAACAACAAAATAATTTTGTTTCAGCGTCTAGGAAGCATCCGAGGAGAAGACATACCCTACATCTTCGGTCTGCCATTAGTAGCCGGAGGACTTTTCTTCCCTCGAAATTACACTCGCCAAGATCAAATAGTGGCTGAAGCTGTCCTCACATTTTTCACGAATTTCGCGAAGACCGGAAATCCTAATGAACCGCACAAAATCGAATCAGTGGATTACGGCACTCCGAAAGAGAAGACTAGATACCGAGGACTCATTTGGGAACAATACGAAACTGGTACTCAACAGTACCTCACAATTGGTATACTTCATATCAGTTTTTAATATTAACTCTTTCAAACCTGATTTCAATTTAAATTGAAAGAGTTGATGAAAATGAAGCATCTGGAATGAATAATTATAGTAACGTTTTGTTAAATTTTGCAGCGATGAAGCCGAAAATGAAGAGTCACTACCGTGGTCACAAAATGGCGGTCTGGTTGAATTTGATACCGCAACTGCATCGACCGGGAGACGACGACGTTTCTATGAGACATCATCACTTTCGAGAGAGGGGTGATCATTTTTATGCAGGTAGAGTTCCTAAAAATGTTGAAGACTCAGTAAATTTAAGAATATAACCTAATAAATGTGTAGTAAAAAATGTAGAGCTTAACTTAAAAATGTAGGACTTTAATTCTACAAAAATCCTCAGGGCCAGTCCGAGACGAGTGGTACACTCCGCTCCCTCTGGTGGGCACAACGAAAAGCAGCGCCTCCTCCACAACCGCGTGCAGCACCTCAACCGGCGAGGACAGCATCGCCGAAGACATAACGCCCATACTGGACGACTCGGAAGACGACGCGGAACTTTTGCAAAGACTGACCTCCCGGCACTACTACAGCACCACCACTGCCCTTGCCATCACCGTGGGAGTCGGTTGCATCCTCCTAGTCCTGAACATGTTGATATTCGCCGGGATTTACTACCAGAGAGACAGGGACAAGAAGCGAGCAGCGATGGACTGCACTCCGAACGGTCAGGAATCGCTTCCGATGACGACGAGATCCTCCATGAAGGCTCCAGACAGTTCACGATCGACCCAAGAACCTCCTCCGTCGTACACCACCTTGGCGAGAAGCCCCTCCATCCAGGAACACCATCAGATTCCCCAGAATCCCTCCACGGACGAGGAGCAGCCTCAGAATGAGCAGAAACCTGTACACGCGACGAGTAATACCATACACAAGGACCCTATCCCTCCTAAACCTCCCACGAGGACCACCAGCTCCCTCAGCACCACTGGCAGCACCAACACCATCAAGAAACGCGTGCAAATTCAGGAGATATCCGTATAGCATTAGGGGTTGCCCCTAGAGGGCAACGCGAAGACCAAGAAGGTGACTTTCGTGGACTTCGAAGAGTCCAAGTTCTGAGAGCAAGCTCGTGTAGATGCTAATAAGGTCCAAAGAGGATCGATGAAGAATGGGGATGTCGGTAGAACTTTGGATCTTTTACACGAAGACGGATGCTGAACCCTGGAGTTAAGATGTGGACACTTTGGGCTATGTTCATATTTGTAACTTGAACACGGTCCGTAAGGTTAGGTGTCTGTGCCGCGTGTCTTTTCTGAAACGCTTGTGAGTTAACGTGGGACATTGTAGGATGATGATTGTCACTGGAAGTACTTGTTATTGGACATTCGTCGGGTGAATAATCAGTGTTCTTTCAAAAGTGTTCTTCTCGTAGCTGGCATCCAAGATGGCGTAGCGATGGTCGCGGGCGTAGACTAACTTCCGGTATAATCGACGCTAGGCACGAATGATTCCTACTTCCTTTAATACGCGAAAACTTCGAGGTCTTTTCTATCCCAATTACTGAAAGTTGTGCACGGTTTCGCACGGATAATCAATTAGTTAAGGTCTGTGTAAAGCGATACGTAGCGAACTGGTAAGAATCTTCAGGAACGTTGATCAGCGTGATCTGAATGAGAGGCAAAATTTAAATATAAATCGGTGTATTAATTACTGTGTATGATTGTTTGATAGTTGCTTATAATTATGGTTATCGATTAAACTCGTGAGAAAACTATCCTTTCGCTAGAAACTAACGGAGAACCTTTTTTCTGTAATTAAGTAAAGTTTTGTATCGTTGATTCAGACTTTTGATTTCCTTGACTGCATAAAATTGAAGAAAACGAATATTGTGAAGTTATTCGAACTCCAGCAATTTTTTATCGTCTCGATGTTATTGTTATCGACGGAAAGAATATATAGGCACCCGATATGCAATATACCGGATGGTGTTCGCGTGAAACCTTCCACTGTGCGATGTTAAAATTAAATTAGGGGTGAAATTGAACTGTCGTTCAAACTTTGTCAAAACTTGGCTGGTAATTGTGGAAGGTGTATTGGTGTAACTAGGACCTTCTGTCTGGGGACCCTAGGTCTTTGGGAATTTTTAAGTTTAGATATTTAGAATGTTGGTAATTAATTATTTAAGAATTTTCAAATTTGTATGATAAAAATTTTGAAGACTTTCCTGGTTACGCCAATATATCAGAACGTAATCGTAAAGAAGATTTTCCTTCAAATTGAATAATGCCTAGATCTCCTCGACCAAGTAATCTAAAGCCAGACTATGCCCACGCTTACACGAACATCATTCATCTTTGTAGGATTTTTCAAGGTAAATCTGATGCGGTTAAGAAATTTAAAAAACAATAAAAATCTGGACTTTGGAAGCTCGACATTATCATCGAATGAAATCAGAGTAATTAATTTTGAATTTCTGAGAACGTGCAGTAGAACGCTGTGAAGGAAATTTTCTTCGTTTAATTGCGAAATTTGTTGCTTAAAATCGTATTCAAATGTTTGAACTACTTAAATTGTACAGGAGTAAACGAGAACATGAAGCTACTGTCAAGTAAGTAATTTAATAAGTTAAAAATAATACGCAGAATTCGTGTTTGTACGTTTTTGAATTTCAAATAAGCGCGCGCTTTTTGAAAGGCATATGTCATAGCTGTGGAGATAACATTACAGAAAATTGCGTTTTTTGACAAAATAAGGCACTTTTGAACTAAAATGGCATTAGAAAAGTGTTGTATAATCACATTGGGAATGGAACAGCATTATTATAGTGTGTTGGAAGCGTTAATAACGAAAATTAAAATTAATACAAATTTCTATTAGGGTTTGATGCGTTTTGATGCCTAATAAAGCCAGAAAATCAATTTTTGTCGAATTCGGTCCAAAACGGTACAAGTGGCGCCATCTAGCGGCGAAAGTTGGAACTACAAAAACAGAAAATCTCGATTTTCTCGAAAACTAGGCACTTTTCCGAAATTCTGAAATATACAAATTGTTCCTTATCGCCTACGGAATCGAATGAGTCCTTTCATAGCCTGCTAGGACCATTATTAAAGAAAATAGAAAAATAGCCCATTTCATGGACCAAAAAATTGTCGTCCATCTAGCGGTGAAAGTTGGAACTACAAAAATAGAAAATCTCGATTTTCTCGAAAACTAGCGACTTTTCCGAAATTCTGAGATATACAAATTGTTCCTGGTCGTCTAAGGAATCGAACGAATATAATTATAGCCCTCTAGGACTATTAGGAAA